TGCAGTTTTGCGAAATACACCAATTTCGATACGGCCGAAAACCCACCTCATCCTAGCGCAAAAACATTTTGTCGAAAAATGTAATTTTTTTTTCAAAACTGACGTGTTTCCATTGAGCAAATATATTTTTGAAATTTTAATTTGCGCATTTTCATGGTCAATGGAAACACAGCTACAGACTTCATCCAGTTCTTAGCATCTGTTAGTACAATAGGTTGCCTTAAGGCCCAGGTCACCCTTGCAAAAAAGATCTGCAATCTCAATGGGGTTTGCCTGTTTAAATAAAGGTAAGTAAATAAATAAATGAATAAATTGTAAACTATAAATATGAGCTTAGGGGACCAGGCCACCTCCATGGTTACTGAATGATGCACAAGACRAAAACCTGGAAAATTTGGAAATGAACTCGTTAAAATGGTTTAAATCACATTTAATTGACAGATTCCTGTCTGTTAATGTCAATAATGAATCTTCTTTTAACACCAGAGTTGGTCATGGAGTTCCTCAGGGTTCAGTGCTTGGACCAATCCTCTTTACTTTATATATGCTTCCTTAAAGTTATTAAACAGCATGGGATAAATTTCCATTGTTATGCTGATGATACTCAGTTATATTTATCCATGGAGCCTGATGAATGCAGTTACTTAAATCACAATCTTGTCTCAGACATAAAAAACTCTAAATTTTCTGCTTCTAAGCTCAGATAAGACACTGGTCGTGGTTTTTGGACCTGAACATTTTAGGAATAAACTTTGCAGCCTTTCACTTCCTCTGGATGGCCGCCTGTCCTGAGCCTGGTTCTGGTTCTGCTGGAGGTTTCTTCCATTAAAAGGGAGTTTTTCCTCTCCACCATCTGATGCTGGAGACTGTGATGAAGAGATTCAACACAATTTGCTGTTTTCTTCAGATTTATTGCTTTTTTGTGTACAGTGCTCCGAGACAACAATTGTTGCTCCGAGACAACAATTGTTGTGAATTGGTGCTATATAAATAAACTGAAATGAATAGAATTTTTTAGCTTCTAGCTAGCATTTTGTTCCCCTCAGCGTTAACATTTCAGTTTCAGCATCCTCAGCAGACTTAAAATCATAGAGCGCTCAGCATTCACTTGGTTTTTACTTGAATTACGATGGATTTGATGTTTTTTATTCTAAGTTATTTTTGTCGCAGCTGGACATAAGTCAGCAGTTTACTGTAGAAAACACTTTCACAAGATGAAAAGTTGTATTTATGAGACTTTTGACGGTTTGATCAGAAACTTGTTATACATTATTTCTGCATCAGGAAGATCAGAGAGAAAAAAGTGTTGATTGTTGATGTTAAAAGTCTTTACATGACAAAAACAACAGAGGAAAACTGGTCTGATTGAACTTCTTATAATCACAAAGATGAATGGGCATTTTGACCCCTCATCTTGTCTTACAAGGCTGTTAGAACCAAACTAAGAGCCGAAAATGTTCCTGACAACATTTAAGACCCTCAAGGCTATTCCATTCATTGATTACCACTGATGGAGATCATTTACATAAGTRTGGGGAATGTTCAAGGTTAGTTCATGCAAAAATGATTTTCCAAGACCGTTTCAGGTAATCTTCACAAATAATGCATTTCCATAGAATCAAGGTCCGTGCGCGGGCCTCTCGGCACTCCGCTCCTCTCCCTCTGATGACCGAGAAGAGCTATCGACTAACCATCAAATCTTCTATGTGCGTGGCAGGCCATTTCTCCTTGTCTCAGCACTCCACACCTCCTCCATTATAGCTCATAATCTCATCTGAAGAGGCAAATGACCCTCCGACACACAACGAGCAGGAGGCGCAGACTGAGGGGAGAAAATCTGGAAACAGAATGCTTTTAATAACATTCATCTGCTTAAATCTGCAGGAAAAATGAAACAGAGAAATTACTTCTTGGTAAAAATGGTTTACAAATAAACAAATTAAATGGTAGGTTTAYTGAACTCATAGCTTCTATTAGAAAATCATCATTTCTTTTATTTAGTTGGTTTGTCTGTTTCCCTTTAGACCAGAGGTGTCAAACTCAGGTACCCGAAGGCTGCTACCTGCATGTTTTCCTTGTTCCTCTGCTCCAACACCTGATTCAGTGAACAAAAAAAAAAAAGAAACATGCAGGATGGTGGCCATCAAGGACTGGAGTTCGAACCCTGATAGATTAAACTTGAGTTGTTTGTCTCCTGCAGGAGAACATATCCTGAAGTTCTGCAGACGTCAGAGCAATCTCAGTTTGGAGAAGATCTCAGAAGACGTCCTTTCCAAGAGTGAAATTCTACTTTCTGCAAGAAACCAAACCTTTTTTGTTCCACTCTCGGAGGAGTAAGACACTTTTCCTTCTCTCCTGGGTCCTTATTTTCCCTCTTTGCTACTTGGAGCCTTCTCTACGTTTTCATCTGAAACCAGAAATTATGGATATTTTTATTTTTATGGATTTACTTAGCTGGTCTCTTAACACGTTTTTGGAACAAAGTTTTTTCTTCCATGGGAGGACATGTCAAAGGTGGGATCTCTGTTCTTCTCTGTTCTGGATATATATTTGGATTCCGATCACTGGATTCTACAGATTGGCTTGGTGGTCTCCTGTTGTTCTACAAACAGCRTCRGTGRCTTTTCATTTCCTGGCTGCCTGACCAATATGAAGGATTGCCGTTYTATCAGCACTCAGACTTTTGCCTTGAGCGAGCTGGACTCRGTCTGCAACYGKTTCTATTGAGGGTCGTGGGCCGGCTGTGGTCCCTGGACTTTGCTGGCCAGATGGAATTGATTTTGGAGAATCTGATAGCTCGGCGGGATTGTCCACATTATTTGTCTGATTGTATTCGCCACACGGAGTTGTACCAGCGGACATCAAGGCAGACGGAAAATTGTTATTGTCTGCCTGGCTCTAAACCTTATCTTCTGTTCCCAAACAACTGATTAGAGAATTTGACTCTCCCCTACATGGCCTTGAGCTGTGGACTAAATTCTTCCTGGATGTTTTCRTCGACTGAGGGTCTGCCGTGTGCATCTCCACATAGTGGCAGGATGTTTTCTATCATGGTTAAAATAATCAAGGTGCATTATGGGAGATGTAGTTTATGGTCAATGCTGGCTTTAAAGCAGCTTATTTTAGACATTAATACATCTTTGAAGCTCTCGTGGGCCTCATAAATTGCCATGGCGGGCCACATTTTTCCCGCGGGCCTTGAAATTGACACGTGTCATAACCTGATGTTATTTTCAGAATGAATTGTAATAAAATACACAACGGTTTAGCTACCATGTTGGTGTTTCTCTGGCCTGTTTCTGAGATATTTCAGTAAAAACAAGCATCACTCAGCCTGCCTGTCTTCATGCTGCCGCCTCCTGCTGACCGTTGATCAGCGGTGACAGTGATGTCTCTACTGGTCTCCCTCTGTCGTCCTGGCTGCTGTCCACCCCAGATCCCTCCTGACCCCCCAGCATCAGCAGCTGRCGGTGACAACTCCATCCTGAGCCGCGATCGGCCCGGTCTGCCTGCCTTCTGATAGCAGCCATAACTCCTGACAAACGAGGCTTATGATCTCTCAGCTCCTACGCCCTTTATGGCTACTTGAGGAGACAATGGGGCGATGCAGACCCCCCACCCCCCCCACCATCAGCTGTATTTCTGTTCACCTCGTTTTGCTTTCATCCCACACGGTTACGAGTTGAATGTGGTCTGTCACCCCTCCTCTCAGCTGCTCAGTGATGGATGGAGAGGAAGGGGGTGGGAGATTAACCTTGGCTTTATGGGGACTCCTGCGCCACTCGCCACTGCTGTCGGAGGTCCCCGTTCGCCGTTCTGATTCCGTGTGMGCGAAAGGTTCCTCTGAGCAAACGTCCCATGAAAAGGGACCAAATGACGCATGTTGAGAATTGCCTCCAAACGAGGGCGATTTGTTTCTCCTTGACTTGGGGGGGGAGGGGGTAGTTAGTTAAACACAGAGGGGCATGGTGACAAGTCTCAAACATACATGAAAAAAAAATTTATTTTAAAGCATTCTTCATCTTTTTTGTGTTTTATTTAGGAAGACAAACAGGAAAAAATAAACTTTTTGAATCAGTCTGTGTTGGTTTTGTGTTGAAACTTAACAAAGTTGTTATTTTCAATTATTTTTTTGGTAATGAGTTTAAAACACTGATGATTTTGAGCAGTTTGATGCTGGTTTCACATCCATAAAACAGTGTTTTTTAAATTTCGCCGAGCTGCAACTGRATTCACCAGGAAGTCTCTGAAACGTCTTCAAATATCCTCAAAGTTCCTCAGAGTTGAGTTTTGACACCTGCACAGGGTCTGGTCTATGACAGAAAACCTTTACAGCATGTAYCAAACTTAAGGCCAGCGGGCCAAATGTGGCCCCTGAAAGTTTCAAAGATGTTTTCATGTCTTTAAAATAACCGTTTGATGCTTTAGAAGATAAAAACTGCAACTAGCCGTGTTTCCATCAAMGTTTTTTATGCGCACTTTGAATTATCACATTAGAAAAGTTGGATGGAAAATGCGAAAGTCGCAAAAACTTTGTCAGTTTCACAAAAAAAWTTTTTTACACTCGCGTGAGGTGGTTTTTCGATTTTCCGAAAAAGAGTTGACCAAAAAACATACTTGTGACTGTAGCTGCGTTTCCACTGACCATGAAAATGCACAAATTAGAATTTCAAAAATAAATTTGCTCAATGGAAACACGTCAGTTTCGAAAGAAATTACGTTTTTCGACAAAATGTTTTTGTGCTGGGATGAGGTGGTTTTTCGGCCGTATCGAAATTGGTGTTTTTCGCAAAACTGCAATGGAAACACTTTTTTCGCATCACAGGAGTCACCTGATCAACAACCGGCTGTTTCTACTGGTGAAAAAGACGATGATGAAGAAGGTAACAGGAAGTAGAAGTAGTAGTAATATCACAGAAGTAGTATAAAGTAGTAAACTCACCGACTACAATTTSCCAAAAACACAGCATACGTAGCCGCTCCCAAGTAGGGACTTGTCTCTGGAAAGCCTCGATAAAAGACGCCGACGTCTCCTCTGATGATGAGCGCTAGTGTCGNGGAAAGCCTCGATAAAAGACGCCGACGTCTCCTCTGATGATGAGCGCTAGTGTCGTGGTAGCAACATGCTATGTGTTTACATCCATCGCTGCCATGTTTGTAATGACTTATCATGAGAACAAACGTATTCACGTGACTTTAATAACATTTCTTACTTAATGGACAAAGTTTTGTGCACATTTGCAATGGAAACGCAGCTATAGTCATTGTTTACCTCGATCAGCTTTTCCTGCTGTCCAATAATTGTAGTGGCTGCAGCTGGACCTTCCTCCTGTCGGCGTCTTCCTGGATATTCCTGTAACGTGAAGAGAATTATATTTCTTTTTCTACATGTCCAGTCAGCAGGGACATCACCAATATGACAGAATAATTACAACTTTCCTGATAGCAGCAACACATTCCRGATAACTTCTATCATTTGATGTGTATCCCTGTGAGCTTGAGACTTTACTTCCTGTTTATAACTGCCATGTGTAATGTCTGACGTAATTGCATTTTGTGTAGCCTGGTTGATTTGTTCCAAGCCAGTTGATGGAAACACGTCTGATGTGCATTTCGTTTTTTTGTGACATTTTAAAAGTTCCCTTAAAATGTGCATTAAAATTGGATGGAAACATGGCTACTGTGTGTTTACTTCTCACTTGGTGACCAACGCCTATAATTTATTTTTAAAAAATTGCTGTTTTTCTCACAGTTTTCTTGCAGTTCTGTGTTACCAATGCTGAAGTCTAGTGAGATTCTGGTTTCAGGCCCAGTTTACATCTATAAGCTTTTTGTCTTTGGTTGTTTGGACCAGCAGTGCCCAATCCTGGTCCTCAAGGCCCACTATCCTCCATGTTTGAGATGAACATTTGTCATTTTCAGCATCAGTAGAAGGTCCTACATCATGGATACACTGTTCCACCTTTGTCCTGGAGCGTCAAACAACATGTGTTCCTCTGGTTTGGATCATTTCTGGAGCCATCACACTCCCAGATGCTGCTTATTCAAAAAGGTTTGTGTCTAATAAAGTAGGTGAGCAGCCTAGGCTTGCTAGTCGCTAGCCTCTCCAACGCTAAGGCCAGTTTATCCATGCTAGTGACTAGCCTCTCCAACGCTAAGGCCAGTTTATCCATGCTAGTCACTAGCCTCTCCAATGCTAATGCCAGCTTATCCATGCTAGTCACTAGCCTCTCCAATGCTAATGCCAGCTTATCCATGCTAGTTGCTAGCCTCTCCAATGCTAACTCCAGCTTATCCATGCTAGTTGCTAGCCTCTCCAATGCTAACTCCAGTTTATCCATGCTAGTCGCTAGCCTCTCCAATGCTAATGCCAGTTTATCCATGCTAGTCACTAGCCTCTCCAATGCTAACGCCAGTTTATCCATGCTAGTCACTAGCCTCTCCAATGCTAACACCAGTTTATGCTAGTCACTAGCCTCTCCAATGCTAACTCCAGTTTATCCATGCTAGTCACTAGCCTCTCCAATGCTAATGCCAGTTTATCCATGCTAGTCGCTAGCCTCTCCAATGCTAACTCCAGTTTATCCATGCTAGTCACTAGCCTCTCCAATGCTAACGCCAGTTTATCCATGCTAGTCGCTAGCCTCTCCAATGCTAACTCCAGTTTATCCATGCCTCTCCAATGCTAACGCCAGTTTATCCATGCTAGTCGCTAGCCTCTCCAATGCTAATGCCAGCTTATCCATGCTAGTCCCTAGCCTCGAAATGCTAACTCCAGTTTATCCATGCTAGTCGCTAGCCTCTCCAATGCTAATGCCAGTTTCTCCATGTTAGTCACTAGCCTTTCCGATGCTAACGCCAGTTTATCCATGCTAGTCGCTAGTCACTTCAATGGTAATGCCAGCTTATCCATGCTAGTCGCTAGCCTCTCTGATGCTAACGCCAGCTTATCCATGCTAGTCGCTAGCCTCTCTGATGCTAACACAAATGAATAATCTTTTTCGCATTTGCCAGCCCCGGCCTCTCAATTAGCGGGGTCAGCTGCTCAGTTAGCGGTGCCGGCCTATCATTAATCAGTTCAATATCTGGCTTAAGAATAAATAAAGCCTCCTGATACAAGGATGTAGCAACCACTGGCTGCACATTAGTCTTAATTTTGGCCCTCATGCTGCACCATACCACACAACAGCTGCTCTTCTGGTTTGGATCATTTCTGGAGCCATCCTGCAGCTACGATACTCTCTGATGCTGCTGAACCTCAAGCTGTACAACGTGTCACACAAAGCCACTGACCCGTCTCTGAAACCTGTCTCTGGCCTCAGCCGACCCAATCACACACCTCTTCACCCCTCCACCCCCCACAGCCAATTCCAGGTGCTGATGGTGCAGCAGAGGCAGGGAAACGGGCAGAATGACAGGCCGCAGGGTGTTGGAGGTTAATAGTCCGTCTCTCTTTCCTGTCTGTAAAAGGTCCAGACAGTCTGTTAGTGCTTTGAAGAGGCTCAATCGCGCACGTCCCTTTGTGTTAAAGCTCTGAGGTGACAGACGGCAGCAGGAGCCGGGTGAGGGGAGTTCACCACGTCAGACTTTAGTCACAGGAAATTAGTACGAATGGAAAAACTGTCAGCGATAATGTCTCGTGTTTGTTTTCTGAGAGCTTCATGTCATGAAATCAGCTGAATTTTTACCCTTTTTCTGTTTTGAGWCAAGTCAAGACCACGACTGTCGTCGTGGTGCAGACATCCATGCAAATGTTTTCTACCATTTAGCTCCAAAACCACAAGCTTTCTGAGCTCAGATCCTGGAAACAGACTCACGCCTCGTTTCCCATCAAAGACTGCACTTTTTATCCTAAAACGATGCATTAAATGACACAGTATATAGATGCAAAAACATTGGATTTTGCTCACGTTGCTCTCAGATCATAAAAAGTATGTATGTCAGCATTCAGGCACGTCTTGTGATGGGAACTGTGTAGAACCTGGAAGAGATCCAGCAGACAGAAAAAAAACATGTAAATAAACACTAAAAACAGTGAAATCCATGTAAAAAAGCACAAATACCTGGATTTATATATAAAGTTTCAGTTTTGAAGTCTGAAAACTGTTCAGGAACCACATCCTGTCTGGGTCCAGATGGGTTGGACACAACGTGAGTTTTCCTCCGCTGGTCCTGGCAGACGTGGCTGAATGTGGTCGTCTCTGTAAAAACAGAAAAAGACAAGTTGTTTCATCCGTGCAGAGCACGTCGCACCGGTTGTTTACACACATGACAGGAAGTGAACGCTCGCGCCGTGATCAGGTGTGGCGGCTGGAGCTCGTCTGTCTCCCCATCAGCTCGTTATCGTGACGATCAGAGCTGAGTCCTGTCTGCTTTTAGTGTCAGTCTGGACAACGTCCACGTCACAAGGGCAGGACTGACAGTTCCAACAAACAGCACAAACGTGTGTGTGTGTGTGTGTGTGTGTGTGTGTGTGTGTGTGTGTGTGTGTGTG